CCCGCGAGGGCACCTGCTGCCCACCGCGTGTTCCCTCTGCACGTTCCCGGCCAGGCCCTGCGGCTCCTCCGCCCGCGCGCTCCGGGGGCGGCCTCCTCACGAACCTGCCTGGAGAGGAGGAGCGAGCCCGGGGGGCAGAACCGGCCTGCGAGCCGCGCAGCTGCCTCCCCTCCAGGGCCAGGAGCCCCTCGCGTCCCCGCCCCGCGCCTGGCACCCCGAGGTGCTAAGCAGACCCGTGACTGCGAGCCTCGTTCAGGAGAAAGGGGAGAGGCGCCGCCAGCCAGGCCGCGTGGGCTGCATCCGGCAGGCGCAGCGGAACCGCGCTGAGGGCTGGGAAGCTGGCGAGCCACGGGCGGGTCCAGAGGACGAAGGAAACCGGAACGTTCTTTTACAGGGGAGAAGAAGCCGGGAGGGGTGTTAAACAGAAGTTCCGGTACTGGACCGGAGGCTTCCCGGCGCGGCGGCTGCTCATTGGCTGCCGCTCCGGAAGTTGCTCACTGTTGCCAGGTGGAGAGGAAGTCTCCCTTGCTGCCGCTGCGGCCGCACGGTGCAGCCAGGGGCCCTGCATGCGCGCTTTCCCTGCGTGGCTTCCCGACGTCGCTTTGCATGAGGTTTCCTTTATTCACTTTCTCAGATAGAAGGTGGAATGAAGACTTCGCCTGCGTGATCGAGGGAAACTCTGGTTGGTCTGTTGCCCGGGCCAGCCACCCGTGCCGGGGTCTGGAGGGCCTCCTTCTGTTGCGAGGGGAAGATACAAGGCAAATAATGTTGAAAGCACCTGTAAATCCATCCAGGCTAATAACGTATTAACTGGTAGGAGCTGAGAGGTTTACACAACCTCTGAAGCACGAGACTAAAGACGCAATTGAAATAGCATAAGGCAGGGAAGTGCTATTCAAGTCAGGAGAAGTGTTCCGAATCTCCACCACGGGATTTTGTAGGAGGAACAAGCCCCTTCTTCTGCGGTTCATCAGGATAATCTAACGCCAGGGGAAACCTGCAAGAAGGGGAAAACAGCAAGGAAGCAAGGGAAACATCGACTGTACTTTGGATTCATGAGCCTTGATATTCTTGATGCCACCTCAGGAGCCAGGATACCACTCAGCAACATACAGTGTAAACAGTACGTAAAAAATCGGTCTCGGCGCCCAGCGCTCACTGTGGCATCTCGCTGACTCTCAAGGATTTGTGTTTCTTCCGGCTGAAAAGAGCCTGAACTTTGTTGTTTTATTGACCTCAACAAATGGCCAGCAAATTCCCTAGCAGGACGGGTTCATTCGGGAACAACAAAGAATTGCAGTTTTCACACCCAGGAAAGCAAAAGAGGGCGACGCTCTTTTATAGACGGGGGCCGGGCGCTTGTAAACCAAGAGTCCATTGGAGGAGCCTGAAGACCGGAAGTATAGTGGCTTCCCATTGGCTGAGTTGTGGCAGTCTCCCATTGGCTGAGCTGTTACCGAGCAACGAGGAATCTGTGCTTCCTGCATCCCTTCCAGTTAGAGGCTCAAGGTCTGGCTGTTGCTCTTGGGTCAGTAGTGTGTGTTGAGTGACCGACCTATGCTTGAGAGTTCTTTTCCTCTAGCCTGTTGACTTCATTTTATTTTTTAATTTTTTGTTTATTTTTGTTTAAAATACTACAGATGTCCCCTTTTCTCCCCAATGACCCATTCCACCCCTTCCCACCCCCCTCCCCAGTCTTGACTTCATTTTCAATGAGATTTCTGTTTATTAAGTTTTAGGCCACTATGTCCTTTCTTCCCCCTCCCCCCCCATTCCTCTCTGCTTACTTGAAACCAAAATTGGGTGGGGAGAGATTAATCAAAGAACTTACTTGCTTATATGCATAACCTATGGACACAGACATTGGTCTGGGGAAGGCCTGGGGGTGGGGTGGATGTGGGGTGGAGGGGATCAATAATGGGAAAAAAGGAGACAACTGTAATACTTTCAACAATAAAGATACTTTTAAAATAAATAAATAAAATGGTAAAAATTAAGTAAAAGTAAAAATCAGAAAGAAAAATTTCAGAGGAGTTCAACTTATGTATTGGTTAGAGGAAAACAGGTAAATTATAGTAGAGTAGGAATGTTTGAGAAAAGGTCTCACTATGTCAGATTCCTTAAGGGTATTTGTATTTAAGATAATTAATATACCATTTCAAAGGAATCAAACTTATTCGGTGGCTTTTTAGTATCTATTAAAATACCCAGTGGGTCCACTCTCCAGTTTGCCTAAACTTAAAGTCAGTTCTTCACCTATCTTAAATATGTTAAATTAGTCTGGATATTTGAGTTCCTTATGGGTTAAGTTTTCTTTTACTGAAACTTGGAAAATAGTTTGAGTTTTAGCCCTGGAAGTCTCCTCATGCTATTCTCAGGTTTTCATTTGGGCCTACATATAATTGAACCCGTGTGCTTAATTTTGAAGGAAATGTAAATGAAATGAACATCTGTTAATCAGGTAGTAGACCTTAAAAAAAGTGGTCCAGTTTTCCCAGCATTCTCTCCAAATGTTCATTATTTTAAATTAATTATACATAACAGAGATATGTAGCATTAATGATAAATCAAAAGGATTAGTTATAAATTATTTTTACTTAACTTTAGAATGCATTACACACTTTTCTTTAGTAAAATGTTTATGTTCCTAAACAGAACTTACTCATTACTAGCGGTACTGCAGGGGGATTCTCAAGGCCTGGACGTTAACAACGTAGGGCAAGAAGGTATCAGCTGTGGTTTACTCATGTAACCTTCCTGAGCTACGCTTTCCCATCTGAAAGATGGAGAAAACAAGTGTCTTTCCTTATCTTACAAAGTTTTATGAATTAGTTAGGGGATGTGAGAAAATGGTGGAGGCTGCTATGCAAATTAAGTAAAATTCTATTGTTTGATTGGAATTTACCAAGGATCTGTCAGGTGATGTCAGGGAGGAGGCAGTCCAGAAACGTACAAAGCAGCCAAAAGGAATCAGTTTGAGATTCAGAAGTTTCCACAGGACTAATAAAGAGTTGGCCAGATATCTATAATGCATTTTAAAGTGAGTAGTTAGACTTTCCTTGACTGTCTTAAACGGGAATTAAAAAGAATGTTTTCTGTCGACTTTAAGCTGCCTAAAATTCGGTTTCAGTGTTTGTGAGAACATGGCAGGGCAGTGAAATTTCTGAATGTCTTATAAACAGCACCCTCAAGTCTTACCAAGGAGACAGTCTCAGACGGAAGCTTAAATGATGTTACAAATAGAGCCTTCCTGTGTGTGGGGTGAGGCAGGGGCCAGGCTCCCCTCCATTTCCTCTAAACTTCAGGGCTTTCAATTTATTAGTCTCGGAAGGATGAAGAGTTGAGTCTGTCCTGATAGCATTTGAAGCTCTGGTTCCACCGAGGATTTAACGCTGTCCTTGCAGGGAGTCTAGGTGTTTCAAATCTGAGGCTTAAAAAACGAAGCCGTCCCCTCCGGCTTTTGCAGGGATGCTGTGAAATCCATTTGAGAAACATGCCCATGTTTTGCTGCTTGTGCAAAGCTGTAAGCGTGACTTGGCATTGAAACAATCATTTCTTTTTTGTCCGAAAACTCCGCATGAGCTTACTACCTGGGTTATCTAAATACAAGTTGCTTATTTGATTGGCATTTGCTCTCATCAGTTTCGCAAACTGAAAGTACTGATTGTTACTAATATTAAGAACATTGTGCTACCGTTTCTAATTTAAATTCATTTTTCATTCATTGGGGAACACTTGATGTTACTCCCTGATTGTACATTCTGGCTGTAATTAGTCATTATACAGAAATAAGTGTTATCTTATTACCCTCTAAGTGAGAAAAGAAAGTAGTCTTCCTTTCTGGAATATTTCATTTTTCTGATTCATGTCCCCGAAACCATTAGTCAAATCAATAGCAGATTCAGATCACAAACTTTTTTCTTTTGACTTTCTAACCTTAAAAGTCATATTGGTGACTTATAGGACCAAGAGTGTGTAGTAGAATATTGGCCTATGAGGTGATTTCTTTTCAAGTAAGTTGTGCACAACATATTTTCAATTTTTGATTTTAATACTGGGCCACTGTTAATAGTAACGTTATCGTAATAAGGACATAGTACATTTTACATGGGGGAACCTGCTTTTTATGACAGTTGTTGATGACGTTATGGTGTCCTCATGAATGTGACCCATCATAGCAATAAAGGGCTAGGGCAACGGAACAGCATCATGATATCTTCCTATAGCTTTAAAAATCACTTCGACGTTGAACTAGTGTCACAGATGATTTATGTGTGTGTATTATTGCTTTATTTATTTATTTTTTAATTTATCTTTATTGTTGAAAGTATTACAGATATCCCCTTTTTTAATGAAAAGTTTTCACAATAAAAGCAAAAGTATAAAATAACAATGACTTACAGAAGTACTCTCACCATTTAAAATAATAATTGTTGGTCATGATTTAAAAGGAAAAATACTCTAATGAACAGATGTGTCCTGTGTATAACTATTCAACTGGTCTATTATTTCCCAATGGTTCATGTAAAGATTTAAAAGGGAAGATTATTTTACATGTGACTTAGTATTCTTTTTTTTTCATTTTTTACATGTGTGTTCTTCAATAATTTCTAAGTACTCTACCCCTTATCAAAGATCACCTACCTCTTAACGTTTATGCATATATGTATTTGGTGAAAAATCTTGACATTATATGCATTGTTGTGAAAACTGCTTTTTTAAAAGATATCTTTAATTTCTTTGCATGTCACTAATATTCTTTATGGTATTTTCAAACCCCTTTTACTGTGAAATATAATACAAATATAGAAAAGAACACAGAACACAAATATACACCTTAACGAATTTTGCATAAAATGAACACCCAGGCAATCATCACCTCTCATGTCAACAAACTGAATATTTTGGGCACTGCAGAAAACCCCTAATTACTCATACAGCATCGTTTTTAATGGAGGTATAACACTCATTATGAATGAACAGAAATTATTGTTTTCGACTGTATTTTAAATTGTAGGTCTTTGTATATAAATACATCCCAGGATTAACCCATCAGGTGTTCCATGGCATGTATAGTGTCATGCTGGGTCATGATGAAGGTCAGTCTTAGGAAATCAGGACTCTTGCATTGCTCAGGGGGGTGAGCATAGTTAGTTCCGTCTTTACTAACATTTAGGTTTCTGAAGAGTCAGGGCAGACTCAGAGCTTAGGCAGATCTCCAAATTCAGGGCAAATTCGGAGTCAAGTGTCTCTGGAAATGGTATTGCCTGAGCTCTCATTCCGAGGAAGGGTTTTTTCCTACCCTCCTACCATCTTTATCATTCTCGTCTGGGTACAGAATTAACTAGCTGTGAACCAACTAGCTTTTAATTGCATCCCAAAGCCCAGATGGTGCTCAGTAGTTTAAGTGCCCTAATGACCAGATGGCTGTTACAGAAAAGGTTTAGATCAACATCTTTAAACTCTTTCAGTGTCATAGTTTAGAGTTACGAAGACTGTGATGCTGAAAGCTTTAAAAGCTTTCTGTATCAAACAAAAGGAAAGTTAGTGGCGCTTTAAAGCAAAAGGGATTTATATTTTTGCCCAAAACAAGAAGTAGAAAGCTGCTGGCATTCAGAACCTACCTGTTGCCTCATGGTCACAGGACTATCGCTCCCGACATACATCCACATTCAAGCCATGGGATGGGCGACAGGTCTGGGATCAGCCACAACTCCTCTCCCTTTTTAAAAAAAAATTGATTTCAGAGAGAGGAAGGGAGAGGGAGAGAGAGAGAGAAACATCAAGGATGAGAGAGAATCACTGATGGTCTGCCTCCTACATGCCCCCTACTGGAGATTGAGCCTGAAACACAGGCATGTGCCCTGACCCAGAATCCAGACATGACCTCCTGGTTCATAGGTCAACACTCAACCACTGAGCCATGCGGGCCAAGCCACCCCTCTCCCTCTGTAACAGGAAAATAGAAGCATTTCCAGACACTCCCAGAAGATACTACTTCATTCTCATTGGTCAGAATGATGTCACTTGGCCTTCTCAGTAAAATCTACAACACACTATTTTTTCCCTTCCCTTCCCTTCCCTTCCCTTCCCTTCCCTTCCCGTCCCGTCCCGTCCCGTCCCGTCCCGTCCCGTCCCGTCCCGTCCCGATCCGTCCCNTCCCTTCCCTTCCCTTCCCGTCCCGTCCCGTCCCGTCCCGTCCCGTCCCGATCTGTCCTNCCGTCCCGTCCCGTCCCGTCCCGTCCCGTCCCGATCCGTCCCGATATCACTCCTGGCTCAGACTAGTACGTAACAGGAACAACACATACAGATGGAGGTCAGAGACTGAGGCAACCTTGAAACATCAAGATCTCTGTAAATTTCTAGAGACTTTTGGAAGGACTTTGAATGTGATTAGAGTGTGACTTTGGAGCTTGAGCCAATCTTTATATCCCCAGGATCAGGAAGCCTTATCAACATGAGAACTATGACTGTGGTACTTAGTGGGAGGTTGAAAGGAAAGAGCAGTTCTGCCCCTGGGATAAAAAGATGGTCATTTTTGAGGATAAGGGATTGAAGGAAAGTGGGGGACTTTATATCTGATAACCTTGATCTTCTGGGAGTAGATTACCGCTCAGTGGAAATGGAGTTGGCTGATGGGAAATTTATCGGTATTGCCGATAGTGGCAACGTCCAGACTGGGCAGTGCTCACCTGTGTGCGATGGAGCGTTCAACTGAGTGGAAGGTTTTGAGTGCCTGGAACGTACGGTGAAGGCAGAGTGCCCATTTTAGTGTATGTCAAGGGCAAAGGCTTGCAAGTTGGAAAATAGGGAGGTTTTAAAAGACAATAGCATCCCTTCTCACATACTGCTGACTGACATTTTAGGCTTCAAAGGCATGTTCAGTCCTCAAATAGGAGAGGGTCAGATTTACAGTCTCCCCTCCCATCTTCTCCTTTTCAAAAGTATTAATTGGTCACCCAGGTCGTGTTTCTATGTGGCATAGATACAGTGGTGCACAAAACAGACCAGCTTCTACTCTGATGGGACTTCTGTAAACCACTAAACAAATATACAGAGCGTTGCCAAGCAGTAGAAACAAGGGGGAGCGTAAGCGGCACGGGTGCTCGGAGGGGATGCTCGTTGGTAAGGGCGCGAGCAGCAGTGAGATCCTGGACTGGCTTTGAAGGAGGAGCCTGTAGACCTGCTCATGGTTTGGGTACAAGATGGAAGAGAAAGAGAGCACTTAGGTTTAGCACCGAGGTTTAGCTGGTTATATGAGGGATGTGACTGGACATAATTTAGGATGTGAAACGAGATTAGGAGTATTTGGCTTTGGGCACAGGGTGACCTTGGAGTTGACTTAATTTATGTAGTACTCTGACTCACTCCTGAGTCTTCTGTGGGTAAAGTATATATACACATATATGTATAGACATGTATACATATGTATGAAAAGTCAAATTTTGTATTTATTTTTAAATATATATAATGGAAATACTATTTCTCAAGACAACATGTGGAATTCAAACAAGGTTACATCTAAGTGGAAGCCCAATCAGACAGTGATATAGAATCTGTGTTGCCCTGAGTGGTCTCAGGAGCACATCCTCAGGACTGCTTACTGGTGTTGAGAGGTTTGCTCCGAGACAGTAGAGCCTCTGTCCTGCTGGGCTGCCTACATCTTCCTCCAGAGGAGAGTTGGATCCCTGGCTGACCAGAAACTAATGTTTAAGCCACTGGAGGAAGAGACAAGAGCTGAGAATCATTAGGGAGAGATCTCTGTCCCACTATGTTTTCTTTCACATTGAGGGTATTCAGCTGGACCTTGGACTCTACGCCCCTACTCGGAGTGACTCAGCTGACTGATGAATCTGGGAGGACTGAACGGGACCTGCTAACCTTTGCCTTTTGTCCTGGGGGCTCCGCTCCTTGCCCCTGCTTGGTCATGCCTGGCGAGGTGAGCTTGCAATTTGGGGTTGACTGCCAGGGAGCCCGTTGACTCTCACAGTGAGGCAAATCCTCTGACAGCCTTCGTTAGTTATGAAAGTGATGTTCAGGCCTCCATTCGGCCACTCCTGGATTTGATATTTTAGTTTACTCAGGGCTCTGGGAGAGAGAGGAGTACTGTTGACTGAGTCCCCTAGAGAAACAAACAGAAGAAGAGCCCCCCGCCTCCTGTTTCACAGCCGTTTACAGAACATAGTCCACAAAGAATCTCATCTATGGCTCCCCTTCTTTAGGGGACGGAACTGAAGTTTATAGATGTTAAATGACATGGCTGAACTCAGTCACTAAAAGCAGCAGTGAGCTCTACACCCAGGTTTCCTCACCACTAAATGTGGCTTTTCTTATGTATACAACTACTTTGGGTATATAGGAAGGGTAGCTTCTCTCTGAGTCACTGGGGTGGTGCAGACATTCATCAAAGTCTGAGCAGCGGCAGAGGGAACCTCTGTCACCTTGTGGGACTGTCAGACCTGCCACTGTATGTTTGGTTTGTTCATCTTCATTTGAAATAGGTCAGAATTTATATATTTGTCTGAAATGTATTCAAATGCATGTTCCTTGTCAGTTGCCCTTCATGGAGGTGTCTGTTTTTTTTAAGTGCTAAATTTTGGTATTAAATTTGTTATGTTTGTTAACCTGGTGATATTTGTGGCTCAACTAGGAGATGAATAATAACATCCCCCAATTGCTGAAGAATTTTTATAGCAGCTGCTTTCTACCAAGTACCTTTTAATTCCTCCATCTTGGCAAAATGCAGTGTCTATTAATTATCACAAAATTTTAAAAGTCTCCAGCTTCACAATGGAAACTGTGTTGTGCTTATTTTTATGTGAAGGAAACTAACCCGGTGAACATCCAGGGGAGTCCTTGTGGACAGAGACTGGTACCGTATGAATGACACTGGGTCGTTTCCATGTGGCAGGAAACTCTTATGGCAGCCACACAAATTGAGGGGATGTGAATTAGTCATTGAGGCTGTGCGTGTACCATTAAGAGCAACTGTGCAACCTAGTTTCCGAGGCCCGTGCTACCCAGGCGCATTTTTCTCCACTACAGGATGTTATCATTCAAATATTGTCATTCGCATGTGACGACCAGCTGTGCCTATCCGGACACAGCTGTTGGGTGGAGGTGCAGATAGGCCACCTGGTGCTTGGCTCCGGATAGTCGAATTCCAGCCAGGGACTTAACTTCACATTCCAGCTGTGATAAAGAAAATTGAAGGATGCATATTATCCCTTGGAAATTGCTCCTCGGAGATGTTCCCGGGAATGCACTTTAACCAGAGGTGCCCTTGGTTGGCTCCACACTTCCAACTAGAGCATTTGCCAGGATAAGCCAAAAAAAATGCATCTGGTCATTTCATTTTCTTTGTGGGAAGTAAAATAAAACATTCAAAAGTAACGAAGCCTTTTAATCCTGTTCAAATTGTTTGTTTGCAGGGACAATCTGCAGTATGACAGCCGGGCTCCGCTCATCTCTCCGAACAGTGAGAAGACAAGTCAGGCAAGAGTCAGGCGAAGGCAGCAAAGGTGGGAATGACCTGCTTTCCAGAACTGCTCTGCCTGTAGCCTGTGAGGTGGGATGATGCTTGAGGTTTGCACCCTGGTGTCCAGCGCCCCTTTCTCAACTCCAGATGTTTTCAAAGGAAGGGCCTTAAAAACCCTGCCTTTACCTTTTGTGCGTATGCTTAACCAGGGACTCCCTGGACCTTCAGGCATTTCTGTGTGTAAATGACTACATGGGATCATAGAACGAATCTTTATTACTTTTTAAAGGAGAAGACCTTTCCTGTAACTCATTGCAATATTTCCCTTCGTGAATGCTCTATAGATAATTTTACCTAAAGCAAATAACTTTAGGGTATGCTAATTACTGAGCAGAATAGAATTGTGGTTTATATTAACGTATGTTTCCTGGCAAATAACTTAGCCAATATGAGATAAAATGGTTTTATATTTCTTTAAAACAAATATACTTATTCTATCTTTTGGCATCTGATTGGAAAAACTAATCTCTATCTCTAGATGGAACTTGCTTCTGGGAGCTTCGATTGCTAATTTAAACTCACAAAAAAATGGGTGCAGTGTGTGTAGAGAAATTATTCACTAAAGACACTTTATTTCCTTTTCAAAGTGTGTTTAGAGAAAATCTTGTGTGGGGAGCGTGTGAGTAACCGGGACACAGAGATAAGCATAGTTCTGCAAACTTCAGATGATTATGTGTTGGTCATGGTTCCCCAGAGAAAAAGAGCCTCTAGGAGATGGATGGATGGATGGATGGATGGATGGATGGATGGATGGATGGATAGATAGATAGATAGATAGATAGATAGATAGATAGATAGATAGATTTAAGAGCAGATTTATTGTAGGAATTGGTTCATGGGGTTATGGAGGTTGAGAAGTCCCACAGTTTGCCATCTGCAAGTTGGAGACCCAGGGCAGCCACTGGTGTGCTCAGTCCTAGTCCAAGGGCCTGGGGACCGGGGTTGTTGGTGGCGTAGCTCCCTGTCTGAGGTCCAAGGCCTGAGGACCAGTTGCTCCGACGGTGGAGGGCAGCTGAAGGTGGTGCCCCAGCCCAGGAGGAAGAGAGACTTGGCCGTCCCTCGGCCGTCTTGTGCTGTTTGGGCTATCACGGGACTAGACGATTCCACCCGGGGGCGCAAGGGTGCATCTCTGAGTTCACCGAATTGAGTGCTAGTATCTTCCAGAAAGGTCCTCGTAGACCACCCAGAGGTCTTGTTTCACCAGCATCCGGCATCTCTGAGGCCAGTCAAGCTGACATAGAAAATTAACTGCCACAGAGTCTGTTTGTGTTTGGTAGTTTATTTTCCTTTTGATTCTAAATGCAGAGATATTTAAGGAACACTTTGAATTTTAACAATACGGGTTTACTTTTAGGACTTGTTTCTAAATATCCGCGAGGTCTGAGGGGAGAGGGTGAAAGTGTGTTGCTGCAATTCATTCCTTATCCCTTTGCACATGCTTCTTGTGGAAAGAGAATTTAAGCAGAAAAGATGCTTAGAACTAGTATCAGGGTTGTGTATTCATTAGTAATTTTTCCAAAAATATATTTTAAAACTACTCATACTTTGAGTACAAAAAAGAAGAAAGAAAGAAAGAAAGAAAGAAAGAAAGAAAGAAAGAAAGAAAGAAAGAGAGAGAGAGAGAGAAAGAAAGAAATCCACCTTTAAGTTCTGTAGATGCCCATCCTCTGTACCCCACTCCCAGGAGAGTGGGGCCCGTAGTAGCCATTGGCAGGGCCCCATGGAGTGTGGAAGAGAGGCCTTGAGGTCCCAGAGATCAGGAGACAACCAGGAGGAAGATTGGAGACTCATGCTTCACCCCACTGTATTTTCAGATTTAGATTGTGGACAGCTGTTACATTTTAGGCTAATTATCTTTTGGTTCTTTGCATTTCGAATACTTTAAAAAGCAAGTTTGTTACATGTGTTTGTAACTTGATGTGCAGACAAATGAAAAACTGGAAATTACTGCCATTGGTGGTGGAGGTTCCATTTCTTGAGTAAGAAAAGTTAATTTTACCACAGTCGCCCTGCAGCTGCCTAAAAGCCCTTGAGTGACAGCAAATCTCCTCTCTTCTTTGCAACAAAAAGATGATGGACTGGTGGGAAGTGTGTAAGGAACATGAATTCTCAGCGACTTTGGCTGTTCATGTTGTGTGAATTATTTCTTTTGAAAATGGGAGATGGGCTAGAATCTCCTGAATTGGTGCATTTTAAAGACACTCGAGGTGAATCTGGATATCTACGTAATCCCTGTGTTACATTGTAAAGCTACAGGGAGAAAGCGGGGAATCGGGGAAATTACCACGTGCTGTTCATTTGAAGGGACATGCTATGGAGTGAGATGCTCCGGAGAGAAGGGATTTGTCACTGTTTTTCATTTGTCCCCATGAGGACACGAATTTGGCTTCCAGTTAGGGAAAGTGCTAGGAGCTGTGCTATCGATGGTGTCCAAATGTGTCACTGTGTCGTGACGTCGTGATGAGCAGCCACCGCTTATGGTGTACCTACTGTGAGCCCAGACGTGTTCCAGGCATTTCGCGTGTTAAGTTTTCGAGTCCTCTCAGCACTGTTGTTATCCACACTGTATAGGTAAGTAAGGGAGACCCAGAGGGCTTCAGTAGCTTCCCCAGATTCTCATAGTAAATGGGCCAACGGGAATCCAGAGCCTAAAAGAGAAATCTGTTTGATTTATAGGTTTTTTGGTGTGTGTTTTTTTAAACCTTTAAATTCTGCTGAGAGCTATTTTAAAAGGAAGTACTTTCGAGGAGCCAACACAGAAGATTTTGCAAGTGGTTGCATTTGGAGAAATAACTGGCGTTTTTCTCCCAGTCGACCTCTTAAGAATTGGGTCACTGGGTATATTCTGTTTCCCCTAATTGGGCTTTGATAACATCTAATTGGACAGTTAACTTCCTTTGTTAAATCTTTTTGTTTTTATTATGCAAAAGTTTACCCCAACTCAAGAAGGATGAGACCAGCTGCCCTGCAGCGTAACAAAGGCATCAACGTTTGGGGAGTGGGAAAGGGAGAGAACCGGCTGCTCTCAGCGATGCAGGCTCTTCTTTTTTTTCTTTTTCTAATTGAATTTATTGGGGTGACATTGGCTCGCCAAACCATACAGGTTTCAAGTATAACCTCAATAAAGCATCACCTGCATAGTGCAGTGTGTGCCCATTGCCCAAGCAAAGTCTCTTTCCATCCCCATTTCCCCCCTTTGCCCACCTCCATGTAGCTTCCACCCCCTTTCCCTTTGGCTATCACCACACTGTTGTCTGTGTCTGAGTTATGCATATATGCTGAGTTTTTTTTGCCAATCCCTTCACCTTCGTTCATCCAGTCCCACCATGCCCCTCCCCTCTGACAGCCGTCAGTCTGTTCCATGTATCCATGCTTCTGGTCCTATTTTGTTCATTAGTTTATTTTGTTCATTTGATTCCACATATAAGTGAGATCATATGGTATTTGTCTTTCTCTGACTGGCTTATTTCACTCAGCATAATAATCTCCAGGTCCATCCATGCTGTCCCAAAAGGTAAGATTTCCTTCTTTTTTATGGCCAAGTAGTATTGCATTATGTAAATGTACCACAGCTTTTTCTTTCTTTCTTTTTTTTTTAAAGTAACAAAAATGGTGGAATTTAATCTTTATTTACAGGACACTGCAAGATATGAAATTCCACATAGAAATAAGAAACCCATTGACAGGAGAAGCTTCATACAGTATGTACAGTTTGGAACTGTTCAAGTATAGATTCATTGTAAAAAGTGCTACAATAACAAATGACATTAAAAAAGAGTTCTTAGTAGAGAAACAGTAAGACATACTTATACCAAACATAGTACGTAATAAACAACTTTATGCCTCAGTTGTACATTCTAAAAGTTAAAGGTCCCAGAAGTGCCATCCTGAACTTGGACGTGTAGCCCTCAGAGGTAGTTTCTGGCACATTCTGACCTTCCTCTTCCTCTACAGAGAAGTGCTTCTCAGTCAAGTTTAGTGCAGCTTCGCACACAGGCTCATTTTCATGGTTTTGTAGAGCTTCAATTTGGTCCAAACCTCCACATTCTTCAGTCATTATACTGAGTTTCTCAGTTTCACCTAGTTTCTCAGCAGCCTGAAAGATATTTGAAATGGCATCCAGAACACCCCGAATAATTCTGGTATCTTCCACAGTTAAGAGGTTCATCAGTGGTTCTATTATGCCACAATGAACAAGGCACACAATTTGTTCAACTGCTCCATCACTTGTGTAGCTGGTCACAGCCCACACAGCTTCCTTTGGTGTCCTAAAGTCTGTCTTAGAGAAACAACAATGAGGAATGAGACTGGTCAGTGATTCACAGCTTCCTGGACCTGGTCCAGGCGGCCAGCTGTGATGTTTGACATCGCCCATGTATCTTCCTTCTGAATGTTAGTTTTGGNCCACACTGTTGTCCGGGTCTTCGGATGATCTATACGTGGTTTTTTGCTTCATCCCTTCACCATCTTTCCTCCAGCCCCCAACCCGCCTCCCCGTGACAGCTGTCATCTGTTCCATGTACCATGTGTAGGCTGTTCTTGAAGGTGAATTCACAGACGGCTGCGGAAAAACTTTAATGGACACGGAGAATTCCCAGCCTCGGTACGGTTGGTATGGGCTTGGGGAGAGGAAGGTAAAAATAAAATATTCACCACAAATGGTGGGAAAATCGCACAGGTCTATAAAAAGTCTGATTTTGACTTTTGCTAAGTAAGGCACAGCCCTTTATAATTATCCAGCCTTATGCCCGAAATAAGTTAGACACTGAAAAATGGCAAAATTTATAGCAAATGAAAATCCTCCTGGATTAGCCCTAACTAAGGATATTCTAATAGAGCAGATACTTTTATACGAATAAGTTACACATTAATGATGTCTGCATAGCACAACCGAGTTTCGGCAGTAATAGATTATTGCAGAAAGAAAATTGTGGTTGCACTGATTTTTGGCTTGGTTCTTACCTTAATAATTCCAACCCATTT